AGGAAAAGGGCGAACAGAAGAGCCAGGCGAACAGAAGAGGCAGAAACCTGTTGAATGTCTCTCGGAGTCTCCTCGGATGTCGCTTGGGAGCTTTTTGAAGGCCTCTTGGGGCGTCTGGGAGGCACGTTGGCGGGCCCAGGGCAGTCTTTGAGCGTCTTGGGTGCCTCCCCGGTCCTCTTGAGGCCTCTTGGGGGTATCTTGAGAGCCTCTTAGAGGCCCCTTGAGCGCCTCTTGGGAGCTTTGGGGGCGCTCTTGGAGCCATCTTGGAAGACATCGATCAAACAAGAGGGGCGCACCCTACTTGGTCTTCCCTCGGGAGCCCAACAAATCGCCTCTCGGGGCGCTCTTGGCGCGTTCTTGGGCGCTCTGGGGGCCGTCTTGGAGGCTCTTGGGCCCATCTTGGAGCCCTCTTAGGCAATCTTTGAGCCATCCTGAGGCTTCGGAAGGCCATCAGAAGCGAAAAGGCGAGAAAGCAACATCCGATGAGTTGTCGCAGGTTATGGAAGCATTGGCATCTTGGCGGCCTCCTGAGGAGGCTCTCGAGCCACTTCGACACGTCTTGGAGCGGTCTTGAGGCTTCTTGGAGCATGTTGGGAGCCATCTCGAGCCATCTTGGAGGCCATCGTGGACGCTCCAACGCGTCGCGGGGCGCCCCGTCCAGGTCCAGGGGTGTCCGCGTAGGGGGAGGGGTAAACCCCTCTGCGAAAGGGAATAAGGGGGTTGGAAGAGGAAGCTCTCTAAACCACTCACGCCCAGAGGGCTGGTGGGATTATGTTTATGGTTGCTGTTTTTCCTCTATCAAATGGCCTTCGTCCTGTCCCGCCACTGTGCCTGGGGTGTGGGTCTGAGGCCTCGTGGATGGTCGTTGGGATCTCGTCGAGGCCTCCCGGGGGCCTCCTGGAGACAGTCGTGAGGCGTGAGGCCTTTGGAGGGCTGTTTGGGGACCTCTTCAGGCCTCTCTGGGTCTTGGGGGCCTCGTGGGGGTATCGTGGGAGCCTCTCGGAGGCCTCTTGGGGGTTCTTGGGGGTTCTTGGGGCCTCATGGGCGCCTCTTGGGGCGGAAGGCTTGTATTAATGGTTCGTGTTCTCTTGGGCGCTTCTTGTGGCGGAAGGATCGGATTTACGGTTCGTGTTCCCCCTCTTGGGCCCCTTTTGGAGCCGTCTTTGGCCCTTCTTGGGCCGTATTGGGCGCCTCTTGGGCCGTCTGGGAGAGCCCTCTTGGGTCGTCTTGGTTGGTGCCCCCTTGGGGGCGTCTGGGGCCCTCTCGTGGCGGTCTTGCGGGCCTCTTGGGACGCCCTGGAGCGCTAACCTCTCGGGAGGGCTCTCGGGCCTCCCTCGCGGGGTGCCTCGAGGCTTTTGGAGGCCGTCCTGGGGCCACCGTCTGGCGTCTCGGAGCGACCGTTCGGCGACTCCTCCTCCTCCTCCTCCTCCTCCTCCTCCTCCCTTCTCCTCCTCCTCCTCCTCCTCCTCCCCCCCTCCTCCCCCCTCCTCCTCCTCCTCCTCCTCCTCCTCCTCCTCCTCCTACTCCCTCCTCTCCTCTTCCTCACCTCGTCCTCCTCCCTCCTCCCTCCTCCTCCTCCTCCTCCTCTCTCCTCCCCTCCTCCTCCTCGTTTCCTCCTCCTCCTCCTTCCTCCTCCTCCTCCTCCTCCTCCTCCTCCTCGTTTCCTCCTCCTCCTCCTCCTCTCCTCCTCCTCCTCTCCCTCCTCCTCTCCTCTCCTCCTCCTCCTCCTCATCCCTCCTCCTCCTCCTCCCTCTCCCCCATCCTCCTCCTCCTCCCTCTCTCCTCCTCCTCCACTCCTCCTCCACCTCCTCCTCACCTCCTCCTCCTCCCCCCTCCTCCTCCTCCTCCTCCTCTCCTCCTCCTCCTCCGTTCCTCCTCCTCCTCCTCCTCCTCCTCCTCCTCCTCCTCCTCGTTTCCTCTTCCTCCTCCTCCTCTCCTCCTCCTCCTCCTCCTCCTCCCTCCTCCTCCTCCTCCCTCTCCTCCTCCTCCTCCTCCTCCTCCTCCTCCTCCCCTCCTCTCCTCCCCTCCTCCTCCTCCTCCTCCTCCTCTCTCCGCATCGCATCCGCATCCGCATTCCGCATCCGCATCCAATCCACATCCGCATCCTCCTCCTCCTCCTCCTCCTCCTCCTCCTCCTCCTCCTCCTCCTCCTCCTCCTCCTCCTCTTGGACCGCCTTCGCCCGAGGGGAGGCGGGCCTCCTGGAAGGCGGCAGGGTGGCCGGCGGCTCAAACCAGGAGGGGGGACAAAAACACCACAGGCACAAGGCATCGTCGATCTCCAGGGGAATCTGCGAAAGTAGGGGCAGTGTGTGTGTGTGGGGAAGGCAGGAACCCAGAAAATATGTGTGAAAGTGTGGGAACTCCTGAGATTTGTGCGTAGTTCGAAGGCCTCGAGGCCGGTGCCGCCGACCCTGCAGACGGAGACGACGAGCAGGACAAGGACGTTGAGGAGCAGGAGGCGGAGGACGTCAGGGAGCAGGAGGGGGGATGAGGAGGATGAGGAGGAGGAGGAGGAGGAGGAGGAGGAGGAGGAGGAGGAGGAGGAGGAGGAGGGGGGAAATGAATAGAAGCAGGACTTGTGTGTGTTTGTTCGCGTGTCTGTGGGCCCCTTCCTCGAAGAAGGGGCCCTCGAGGGAGGGGCCCCCGAGGCCGGGGCGCCCCGAGCAGCGCAGCCTTCAGCCTGGGGTGCCCTCCCCGCCTGCTACCCCTGGGGTTCGGTCGGGCCCGTCCCTCGACGGGAGGACTCTTCGAAAACAGTTGAAAAGTGGTCTTGATTTTTAAAGAAAAGGGAGGGGGTCACAACCCTCCCAGACGAAAAGTTTTAGACCCCTCCAGACCATCCATGAAAGGGCGGCCCTTCGTCCAGACCCCCCCGAACCCTCCGAGACGGCTCAAATCAGACCCCCCCCAAATGTGGCCCCCTCCACTTTATTATGGAATTCGGAGTAGTATGGGGACGATTTTTTGGATCATTTCTGAATATTTGGGGGTCACGTTGAACTATTCTTTATCTGTCGTCCAGAATCTGCCTGCAGGAGGACACGCCCGACCTGACCCTGGGGCCCCTTCCCGCAGGCCCCCACCTTTGAGCCGCCGATTCGGAGAAGGCTTGGACAGCTTCTCAGAAGGCGGGTGGCCTTTCCAGAGAGCCCTCGTCTCGATTCTCTCAGTGCCGGGTCCCCGGACGTCCCGACCTTCCTCCGGAGCCGCTCTTCCGTCGCGGACCTTCCTCTGGCGGCCCCGGCGCCCGTGGAGGCCCCCCCGACGCCGGAATCGGCGAGAGCCTGTCGTCTCTGGTTCTGTCGAGGCGGTGGAGGCCTGTGGGCAGTCTGTTGGTGGTCTCCAAACCAGGTGGTGAGACACCCGGTGGTGACCCCGATTCCCCCAAACAATAATTCTGGGTCACCACCTGGTTTGGGGACACGCGGTCGCCACGAGGTTTTGCGTTTCCTGGGCCAGCCAGCGCTCGAAAACCATTACCCAAATCGCCCAAAACTCACCACCGGGTGTTCTCACCAGCACGTTTGGGGACCACCAAGTCTGAGCCTTCTGAGCCAGGCCCGCCCAGTCGCGCCGCCGGGTCTGCGTCCCGCCCTCCCCCTCTCCTGCCAGCGGCGGCCCGGAAGGGCAGTGGCGGGTGAGGTTCCGTGTCCCCGTGGGTCTCCACGGCGAGGGCGCCATGCAGGAGCCGGGCGGGGCAAAGGGGCTGGCTGGGACAGATCGCCCCAGACCCAGACCTCCTCCTCCTCCTCCTCCTCCTCCTCCTCGTCCTCCTCCTTCCCCCTCCTCCCTCCTCCTCCTCCTCCTCCTCCTCCTCCTCTCCTCCTCCTCCTCCTCCTCCTCCTCCGTAGCCATTTTGGCTCAAGACCCATGCTTTGGCGGGCTGAGCCCGCATTGGCAAAAACGGATACCGCTAGTCCGCGGCAGCTATCAACCTTTCAGGAGGTCCCTCGGTCGAGGGGTTCGCGAGCCTCCAACATCCCGTTCCTCTTTCTCGCGCCATGGCTCCTGCAGGCTCTGGCGAGTGGGAGCGCCGCCCGTGGGTTCAGTCCTCCAGGCCCCGTCGCTGGGGGGGCACCATACCTGAGGGCGGGGCTTCATCGGCAGCCAAGTGGGAGTCCTGGGACGGCCAGCGAGCCAAGCAAGAGGAAGTATGGAAGACGGTGGCGGGTCCCAAAGGTGAAATTCTCTGCCACCACTGCGGTTGCCGTAAGAACTCTAAAGGATCGATGTGCTGCAAGCATTGTGGCCAAAAGCTCGGTACACGTCCCCAACCTCTGGAAGACTCTGGTGGCCCCAAGTCGTCGGACGAGTCGGGGAAGGGAGCGAGCAAGGGCAAGAAAGGATACAAAGGCGGCAAGGGTGATCCTCTCGGTGGCAAAGGCTCTGGCAACCTCTCCTCTGCTCTCCCTCCTGGACCCGTTCCCGAGATTCCTCAGGCCAAGGCCCTCGAACTACAGCGTTTGGCTCGGGAAGCTGGGGACGCTGCGGGGGCCGCGCGATATGGAGCCCTGGCGCAGAGGGCGGCTCCACCCCCGAAGCCGTCGGGGAGGCAGCGGCTCGTGGCTGCGGAGCAGAAGCAGGAGAAGCTGGAGAAGCGCCTCAAGGTCGAGTTCGAGAAGCTGCAGCGCTGGCGTCGAGCTGCTGACGAACTGGCGGCCACGGTTGGGACCCTGGCCGACGAGCTGCAGGCCGCCGATGGCGAGGTGGCAGCCGCCTTGGTGGAGCTCCAGAGCCAGCACAAAGGACCACCAGCGACGGAGTCCAGAGGCCTCGCGAGCATCAGCCTGCGCAAGCTCATCGACGGGGAGATGGAGCTGGCTAGCCTTATTTCTTGCGACGATTTCATTGACGTGGAGGCGGTCAAGGGTAGCTACGAGGTGTCCGAGGATGACCTTCGTGAACTCGAGGAGCGCAAAAACGACGTGGCGAAGCAGCTGCAAGAGGTACTTGGTTCGGTTCTTCGTCAGGCGCTGGAGAAGGCCAACTCCGCCCAGGACCAGCACAAGGAGCATCTCAAGCGCCTCCAATCGAAGCGTCGACGTACTGCTGATGAGGGGGAACAAGCATCAGCCACAGGTGGGATCGAGTCTGGGACAGGGACTTCGCCAAGCCCAGGGAGCGCGACAGCGAGCTCACCTACCGAGGCGTCGGTGGATGAGGTAGGCAAGGCGGCCCCACATGTGGACATTCGCTCACTGGTCGCTGCTGACGGTGGAGTGCAAGCTGCTAAACGGGCGGGGCTTTAGCCACAGCGGGAGCTCGACACAGGTCGGGGCGACGTGGCCGAGTTCGGCGACTCCTCTGTCCTGGTCATCCCTCGCTGCCACGAGCGCATCGTCGAGGTTGTCTTCTACGGTTGCGTGTGCATCGTCGGTGTTGCATACTCCCTGCGCTGCAGTGTCGCCGTCGGCTCCGGTGTCGGCAACTCCATGGCCTGCGGTGGCGTCGTCGACTTCACGGGTGGCGACTACCAGCTTTGTCGGATCGGAGACCAGGTGCGCCTCGAGCCTGGTCTCCTCAGAGTTAAATTGCGAGGAAATGGGGCAACGGAATTCGGCGATTGGTCAGTGCGCCGAGTACGTGTCAGCCAGTCAGAACGCAGCTGTCAAGCCCACCCAGGGCTTGGCGGCCCTCTCGTCCAAACCTTTTGCTGCACGCAGTGAAGGATTTTCAGCGTCAGAACGCGACAGCCAGGTGCTCCTCGAACCTGGCTGTCTCAGAGTAGATTGCGAGAGCCCTTCGTGGGATTCGGGAGTTAGATCGCCAAATCCTGGGGGCAACCGATTTTCGGCTGTAGTGCCCTCCCAGGTTCAGTCGCCACGTGCTGGGTCTCGAGCCATGGGAGTCAGTGTTGAGCAACCTCAGGGGGAAGCTCTGGCAGCGCTGCAGCCGAAGCAGGTCATCTCACTGATGGAAGGGCTCCCTCCTGAGGACCGTGGGGCCCAAGGTACGTTCAAAGTGGGCACTCTGAATGCGAATACGTGGCCAAGGGCTCGGAACACTATGCCTTGGATTGAGATGCATTGCCAGTTGCCGCAGGTGCTGTGCATTCAGGAGACCGTGCTGGACCAGTCGGGAGAAGCAGGGGCCCATCAATGGACTCGTACTTGCTCTCGGAAGCTGGCGCTAGGCTCTGCAAGGCGCACAGGAGAATCGGCCAGATCTCTCTCAGCTGGAGTTGGCTTGTCGGCGGCCATGAGCATCGGGGTGTCCAAGCTCCAGGTGCCTGAGAAGTGGCAGCATCGGGTGGTGATGAGGCTCATGACGGTAGGCGCTCACTCGTGGATCATCATCGGCTCGGTCTATGGAGTCGACTCGATCGGCCCCAAGGGCGAGAACCTGGAGCTACTGGAGTTCCTCAGCGCTTTCCTGGGGGCGCAGCGTTTCCCGTTCCTGCTGGGAGGCGACTGGAACCTGGAACCTGAGGAGATCATGGAGCTGGGCTGGCTGGACCTGGTAGCCGCCACCGTTTTCGCACCTGGCTGCCCAACCTGCAATGGCAAAGAGTATGACTACTTCATTGGCTCCCAGGCTCTGGACGCCTTCCCCATGTCGGTAAAGGCCAGGGTGGACACGCCGATCTCGCCACATTGCTACGTGGAGATCAAGCTGGAGGGCTTCAGTGACGAGCCCTTTGTCTGGGTGGAGGCGCCCCCGCGAGCCTTTCCGCTGGCCGACCAGGAGGCCAAGAGGAGGGTCAGGAAGAAGGCCAGGGGCGCCAAGGAGACCGTCCTCACCCCGACCACGGAGCTGCCTGCAGTACCTGTGCTTGACGAGTGGCATCTAGATGCCCCTGTGAGCTCGGTCGAGGATGCGGCAGCGATGTGGTTCAAAGCGGCTGAGAAGTACCTCGTGCAGTTGTTCGAGATTCCGATCTCGGACAGGAGATTCTTCATTGGCAGGGAGAAGGGCGTGGTACTCAAGAAGAAGAGGCTGGTGGATTGTGCGAAATCTATTCTCGAGCGCCACGACGAGACGGACACTAGAGCCTGGTTGAGTGCCCTCAGGCTATGGGATGCCTTATGTGTTGCATCATCAGCCCCGCATGGGTCGAAGGCAGGCAGACCAGAGCACTCCGAGAGGTGCGAAAGGCAGTTGCTGGTTTTGAGGCTACCTGAGGCCATATCGGAGTCCCCCTCCCTGCAGGCTAAGGAGGTCCAGAAGTGGGTAGCTCTGGCAAAGAGAGGAGGTCAATTGGCTGCCTGGTTTCGGACGGTGCTTGCGGAGGAGGTGGAAGTGCGCAGGCGCAAAGACTCACAGGCCAGGAGTAAAGCTTGGAGGGAGTTTGGTGAACTTGCAGCTCAGGGCTCGGGTAGGATAGCGCACGCGATCTCCAGGCCCAAGATGTTAGAGGAGGCGCCCACGCTGGCAAAAGGCAAGCCCCACGGTCTGGTGGGAGCTGCGGCGATCACGGCGGTGCTGGAGGAATGGGAAGAGCTGTGGATCTCTGACGATAGGGCCCAGGAGGCAGCGCCGTCTGGTTGGAGTTACCCGTGGAAGCTTGACCCGATCTCGGAGGACCAGATCGTCAAGGTATGCCGCTCCTTTGGCATTTCTACTGGGCTTGGCTGGGACAACTTTCACATGAGGCTGGTTACCTTTCTGGATGGGGTGTTTGTGCGGAGACTGCAGGAGATTATCTCCAGTTGGGAACGCAATCCGCACTGTGAGCGCATGTGGGTCACGATCAATGTTTTTCTGCCCAAACCTGGTGGGGGCACACGGCCGATTGGGCTCTTGTGTTTCTGGGCACGCATTTGGAGCAGATGCAGAAGGCAGTATGTTAAGAGTTGGGAGGCATCTGTGGACGCGAAGTTCTTCTGGGGAAAAGATGCCACGACCAGTTGCGACAAGGCGGCGTACTTGCACAACATGCTGGCCTGTTACGCCAGAAGGAAGAAGCTGTCGGCCATTACGGTGTTCTATGACATCCGCAAGTTCTACGAGAATGTCAGTCATCAGCAGCTGCGTGAAGCAGCAGAGCACTACGATTTCGACGGCGCCTTGCTGAAGGCGCTCTGCTGCCTGTATCGGGCACCACGTCGGGCGCGCTGGACAGGTGGCACGAGCAGAGTCAGTCACCCGAATGGTACGATCGTGGCTGGATGCAGTGCGGCAACGGGAGTGGCGAAGCTGATGACTTTGTGCCTCCTCAAGCGCCTGGCTGAGGAAACGCCTCCGTGTCGTGCTCTGAATGTGGTCGATGATTTGACGACGCATATCATCGGAGGCCCCAGGACGGTGATTGAGAACACGGTAAAGAGTTTCGAGATCGTCACAGCTGAACTGGACTCGAGGAAGTTGCCGATCAATTGGGACAAGACTAGATTCATGATGTCAGATCAGTCTCAGCTGCCTGCATTGGTACAGGACCCCAGGTGGAAGCTATCGGACGACAAGCTGGTCATTGCCCACCGTGACCTCGGCGGCGACTCGCTGGACGGCAGGGCGAGGCGGGTCGGCACGCAGACATCGAGATGTGAAGCTGCCCGCAGCACCGCAAGCGCCCTTCGTCAACTGGGGCAAAGTGAAAAGCACAGTAGAGTTTTTCGTGTGGGAGCGCTGGCTAAAGCTGCGTGGGGGTCCCACATTTTGGGGATCCCGCCGACCACCCTCCATAAGCTCAGGGTCCAAGCCGCGAGATCCTGGGGCCCTCTTCTTCCTGGTACCTCCCTGGGCTTCAGG